AAGGCCAGAGCAGTTACAGAGAAGGGCCTCCCGGAGGGGCCGCCAGCCGGCATTGTCCGGTCGACGGCACCTGGAGGAGGCCCAGCCTGTGAGATCTTATTGGCTGTTGGAAGGTGTGTGGCAGGAGGCGGTCTCGCAGATATCCAGGTCCCAAGCCATGTAGGGCTTTAAAGGTGATAACCAGCACCTTGAAGCGCGTCCGGAGACCAATAGGAAGCCAGTGCAGCTCGCGAAGGATAGGTGTAACATGGGTGTATCTAGGTATACCCGATGTCGCTCGCGCGGCTGTATTCTGGACCAACTGTAGTCTCCGAACACTCTTCATGGGCAGCCCCATGTAGAATGCCTAGAAACATAGAGATTATGTATGAATAATTACCATGAAATATGAAACTTTTTCACTGAAACAGCTGGGTAAAACTGTACAAATACACATGTTTAAGAAACAAATAACAGACAATATGTACTATCACACACATACACACCTTGCATGACCTTTTCTTTTTATTTTTCTGTGCTATTTAAATAAAGACAAAAATAGGAGACTATGGATGAAAATCAAACCTTGCCCAAGTAGTTCTCAACTTACGGCCATAATTGAGCCCAAAATTTATGTTCTTAAATGAAACATTTGTTAAATGAGTTTTCCCCCCATTTTACAATCTTTTATGGTCTTTCTTGCCACGGTTGTTAAGTGAATCACTGCAGCTGTTAAGTTAGTAATGTGGTTGTTAAGTGAATCTGGCTTCCCCATTGACTTTGCTTGCCAAAAGTTTGCAAAAGATGATCACATGATCCCAGGACACTGCTACCGTCATAAATATGTACCAGTTGCCAATCCGGATTTTGATCATGTGGCCATGGGAATATAGTAACGGTCATAAGTGTGAAAAATGGTGGGTCGTAAGCCACTTTTTCCAGTGCCATTGTAACTTTCAATGATCAGAAAATGAATGGTTGTAAGTCGAGAACTACCTATATTTTCATCTTAGTTTACTGGTGGCCCTCATTTAACAAAGTCTAATTGCTCCATGGTTTCTTAAAAATATGTTTCAGGTTTCTGCTTTGTTCCGAGATGGAACAATTGGAGGTAATATCAACATTGCAGTTGTTGGCTTGATACTTTTGGAAGAAGAGCAGGTAGAGTATATTCAATATTTTAAAGTTGAATAATTAATCCTGATTTTTAATCTTGCTCCTGGATTCAGTTCTTGACATCTCAGTGCAGAAGTGTCTTAGTAGCATTATGCGAATAAACCAATCTTTCCTTAGCCTGGTGCCTGCCAGATGTGTCGAATCACAATTTCTTGAAATGCATGCTGTAAGGCAGCTTCAGAGAAACTATCGTTTATCATTGTAGTATTTGTACACTGTTGCAGTTATCTTTATGCAAATGTAAGTTTAAAGAGAATAAACATATGAAACAGGATGTTCAGGATTGAGCTTGTTGATTTAATGCCCCAATTATGTTGTGTAATTAATATCTATGTTTCAAACTACTCATTCTCAACATAAGAACTTGTCTTCTTTTTTTATAAATGTACATCCTGAATATTTGTTATTGAAACTTGGCCCTAGTTCTCAGAGAAGCTGCAAGCTCAATGCCTCATCATCTGTCCCAAATGAGGCTAAATGTAATCTTCTCAGATCAGAGGCAGAGTTTCAGGTATGGTATGGACATAACTTCTAACTGCTTGGCTACACTGCAGTGGTGGGTTTCAAAATTGTTTAGAATCTCTTCTGTAGGTGCGGCCTGCTTTGTGGGAGTGGCTTGCTGGCCATGTGACTGATTGGGAGTAACTTCCAGCCATGTGACTTGGTGGAAGTGGCTTGCCAGCCATATGACTGGGTGGGAGTGGCCAACTTGTAAAATGTGATGAAACTCACTTAACAATGCTCTTGCTTAGCAACCAAAATGTTGGCTCAGAAACTCTGGCATTTGAAGCACGCAAGTCTTAAAGTTGTCAAGTTATAAGACCCTTGCACCCTTAACCCTTTAGAAAAAAAACCCCCAAGGGTGTTCAAACTTGACAGCTTTAAGACTTGTGGACTTCAACTCCTAGAAGTCCTCC